ATACATAAATAAATAAATCTCAAAAAGAAAACCAGACACCAAACACATGAGTCACAAACACATACTCACACAAGCCACCTGTAAGATGAAATAGTCTAGAGGTTACAGAAGTTGGGAAAGGAATACCTCAGAGTCACAAGAATGCCAACACTCCAACCACATACACACCTTTTTCTCCCCCAACAGTCAAAAAATACAACCAGCACCCCCAAAAATAAGGCAAGTGAAATTAATAGAACTGCAACACTGATGATGCTGGGAATATAAATTAGTCTTACTTGGGAGGAAAACTAGCAAATGGTCAGTTTTTACAAGAACTTGGAAGGAGGGTACAGGAGGCAGAGGTTGGTAATAAAACAAAACTCTAAAATAGAAACGGTCAGTCTATTTTATAGGAATTAATCTTGCAGACCACCTCTGCGCCACTGGCAGTGCCATGCTCAAGTGCTGAGCTGGAAGGATTCTGGTTGTGAATTCACATGAATGAACAATGTCTGCCAAAGATTCAGGAAAAAGACTGATGACACCTTTCTGCTACCTCTGTCAAGTAATATGGATGAGAGTCACATATAGTAAAATCTTAATCATTCATTCTCATGACCAAAACAAATGATGTGGTAGCGTGAAGCAAAAGGGCAAGTTAGCATCTTTTTAGATGCTGCTTTCTCCAAAATTTCCAGAAACTTTCATTTCTACTTCTCTCTGAGATATTGAGAAAGAACTCAGTGTCACATATGATTTTTTTTTTTTTTTTAACAAACCAAGGTTCAGAGTGTTGACACAAATGACTTACTAAATGTCTACATCTACCACAACTTTCTGGAAGTTCTATCTATTCATAGCTAGATAAATTATTTTCATCATATTGTCAGCTGTAGCTCTATATGAACCAAGGATGATAAAAGTGCTAATCAATCTCAGTAATCTTTAGCCTGAATCTTTTCAGCATAACACAGCAGGAATCTCAGCAACTGACAAACTATACAGGAAATGAAGTCTACATGTCATCCTTTTTCTAATCTGATAGTAATCAAGGATAAGAATTTTAACAGCAACCATTTTATTAAATACTACTATTTGCCAAAAGCTGTTCTAAATCTTTATATATTTACTTATTTAATCTTCAACTAACCTTAAAAGATAGGCACTAGAGTTTTACCTAGTTCACAAAGGGGAAATAAAGGAAAGGAGATGTTAAGAAAATGCTGAAACTCCAAAAAGACTAAAATGGTGAACAAACACATGAAAAATGCTCAATAACATAGATGATTAGGAAAATGCAAATCAAAAGTACAAGGTAACCATTACTAGGACAGCTATAATTTAAAATAAAAAGGGGGGCCTCCCTGGTGGTGCAGGGGTTAAAGACAGCGCTATCAAGCTATTGTGAGCCACTGCAACATAAGCTCGATGTCAATGTCCATGCTGCACCCCGGAGCAGACACACAGGGAGCAACAAACCTTGCCTGTCTCACCTGATGCTCCCCTCAGCAGTGTATTTTAGTAAAATCTACTTGTTCTGTTCCTTATCTGACTCTGGTAAATCCTCTCATATCACCCCAACACCTCTGGCCTATACCGCAGTTCTTGTACACATAAACAAATCTTTAAAATTAAAAAATAAATACATAAAGGAAAAGAACAAGTGTCAGCAAGGTTATGGCAAAAGTGGAGTCCTTACACCTTGCTGCTTAAAATATAAAATGGTGCAGCTAACTGGAACAGTTTTGGAATTCATCTAAAGCTAAATATATGGGACCTCACTGGTAGTGCAGGGATTAAGTTTCAGCACTCTTACTGCTGGGGTCTGAGTTCAATTCCAGCCAGGGAGTTGACCCACATATGGTATAGCAGACCTCTCCTGCCTTGCCTGCTGCTCCCTTCAGCAGCACATTTCAGTAGATCCACCTGTTCTGCTCCCCCACTCTATCTCTGGTGAATACTCTTTCCCTGCTGTACCTCTGCCTACACCCAGTACTTCTATGTAAAAAAATGTTTTAAAATATTTAAAATATAAAAGCTAAATATATGACCCAGGAAGCTCCCTACTAAATATGTATCAAAGGAATTAAAAGCACCCTAAGATATACCTGTACACCAATCTTCATTTTAGCATTGTTCACGTTAGCCAAAATTTGGAAACAACCCAAAATTTCAATAAATGGCTAAATTATAAGTGGTATAACCATACAATGGACTATTATTCAGTCACGAAGAGAAATGATGATATGATACATGCTACAATGTAGATTAACCTTGAAAATATTATGCTAAGTGAAAAAAGCCAGTTACGGAAAGACAAATTCCACTTAAGTAGCAATAATTCATAGAAACAGTAGGCTGAAAAGCAATTATAGGAACTAGGGAAATAGAAGATGGGAAAATAATAAAATTCCTGGGTGGGGAGATGAAAAAGTATTAGAAATACTAAGTAGCAATGGTTCTACAACACTGTGAATGTAATGCCACAAAACTATGTTAAATATGGTCAAAATGGAAAAATTTTGTTTCATATGCTTTACCAAATTTTAGAAAATGAAGCATATGTACATTACGAAATCCAATAACTGGAAACATTCTTTACAAACATTCCATCCAAAATTCCTCCTAAGTAATGAAGTTGAGGACTTTTGATCAATTAATGCTAAACTCACTTGCCAAAGATGGGGACCCACACATTAATGAAAGAATGGAGTATTCAGCATTCATTGCATTATGCCTTAGGAGAGTCCACAATCTTTATAAGCTAGATTAAAAGCACGGTAAATATAACTTTTCCTTACATTTCTACTCTTCACATTCCCAACTTGGGGGATAATTTAGAAGGAGAGAGTATGCGGTTTGTACTTTGATTCAGTATAGTCAGGGCTGTATAAATAGCAACTGCTAAAAAGACTCACTCACTGGATTGCTTTCACAGATCAGGGGCTCCCCCAAAGGCTTGTAAGGTTATACATTTTTACTGATACAACAAAATATCTGAACCCAACCAACCTGAAACTGCAGAGAAAATAAGAAGTAACATAATTCAAGAAAACACACCCTTAATAATTGAAACACATCATGTAGCTTAAGCAGAAAACAGGGAGAAACTATACTCATTTTCTATACTACATGTCCTAAGATTAGCAAACTTAGAGATTTTGAGTAAAGGCAGAAGTCTGCAGAACTCTGGTTTAAAAAGTCACAATTTCTGAAAAGAGTCAGTACTTCTGAGAGTACAAACAGTGAATCTATTATTATTACTGGTGTATAAACATCAAGGTAATCTCAAACCCCAAGCATCCACCCTAACAACTGAACTCAGTTTCAAGAGTATCAGAATACCTGCACTGGCCCTCCCTGGTGGCGCAGCAGGTTAAAGCACAGCACTGAGAAGTTAAAGCCACTTCCGCATGATTTCGATCCTCGCCTGCCCCGGAGGTGACCACATGGCGTGGCAGACCTCTCCTGGTCAGCCCACTGCTCCCCTCAGCAGTGTACTTCGTCCATCTGCCTGTTCTGTTCCCCACTGTCTCTGCTGAAGCCTCTCGCCGCCCCTGAGTCTCTGGCCTGTACCCCAGTTCTGTATGAACAAATAAATAAATCTTTAAAAAAGAAGAAGAAGAAGAATACCTGCACTATCAGAAATTAATATGCAACCCAAAATCAACAAAAAGAATGTTTAACTTGATTCTATTATAGGACAGTGTATCAGACAACACTGTTATCAAATGAGCATTAGTGACATGAATTTGCCGTCCAAACTAAGCTATACCTAGTTGATTTTCAATCATCAATATAAAGAATTCTAACTTCCTTAAATGACTCATTCTTCACTAGCAGTAAAGCTTAAACTATTCTGTTCATTCCTTTTCAAACATTCCTCAAATATTTATTCTGTCACAAAGTCTTGAAGATGAAATACAGTAAAGGGCAGTTTCTGCCTTCATGATCTCACAGTCCAGTAAATACGAGGAACATTAAATAAGTGGCTATATAAATATTTAATTAATTAAAATTGTTAAGTGCTATGAAAGAAACTATACCAAACTAAGAGGCAGTCACATCAACTGGATGTTGAACCTCAGCTTTCTCATTTGTAAACCCAGGAAGTAAATATGGGGTACTTCAAAATCCTTGGATTTGGGAAGTCCATAGGCGATAAAACAGATATGAAAAAGCATACATTGTACAAAAATGAAGAATGATGTAAAAAAAATTTTTTAAGTCCTTCTAATTAAAAATCTTTACAAATCTGAAAGCATAGCACTTTGCATCCAGAGTCCTTTTGCCAGAATAGTTACATTTATAGAGCTGATCAGCAATAATATAATCACCATCTCCCAAATACAGGACGGTTTTTGGCACAAAGATACAAGGAAAATAACCTGGTGGCTCAACGGGTTAGGACTTAGCACCGCAAGCCAGCCTCAGCCGTTTCAGTGTGAGTTCAAGCTCCCCAGAGGTGATCCACATGGCACAGCAGACCTTCCTGACTCACATGCTGCTGTTCCCCTCAGCAGTGTACTTCCTCCAATCTGCCTGTTCTGCTCCCCACTCTGTCTCTGGTGCATCCTCTCACTGCCCCTGCACCTCTGGCCCGAACCCCAGTTCTGTATGCATAAATAGATAAATATATCAATCAGTCAATCTTTAAAAAAAATAAGGAAAATAAAGTAATCCCTACTGTTAGAAACATTTAACTCCCAGTTGCAAATATTAGACATAAAGCTATGTTCTAAGCTTACTATAAAGAATAAATGGGTGAAACTTGTCTATAAATTATCCATATGTATCAGAATTATTTTGGAATTGTTTAACAGACATATTTCTAAGTCCCAATCATACCTATAACAGAATGTCTTTGGCTCCAGGTCTGGGAATCTGATTTTTTCACCAGTTTCAGCTTCTTGGTAATTCTACCACACACGAACGTTTTAAGAACACACTTAGCAAAACTAATATGAGACACAGTTTTAGAGTAAAACACTTCAGGATAAGAAATGTAATGAACATACCTGTGTAGATTTGTCCTTCATGCAAGGAGCAGCTTGCCCATGACTGTCACGGGGCCAGTGCCCGGCGAGGTACGGAGCAGCAAGTGTATCCAGGGAAGATGTGCGGCGGATAATGCTGGAGGGGCTTGAGGAAGGCGGTCGCGTTTTGTCACCTACATTTAAACAAATATATGGATTTTAAAAACAGTTTAGGCATTCTCTAACTCCATATACAACAATAAATCTAGATACAAGACCTACAACAAAACATAGAAAAACACACTAGTGATACATTTCATATCATTGATAAAGATATTTCTGGTTACTTGATACCTATGGCAAGGGAAATAAAAGCAGAAATAAACAAGTGGGAAAGCTGGACTTAATAATTTATCACACAGCAAATGAAAATGTATGATTTTAAAAAATCCTAACTGGGAAAAATTTCAGATTACACAAGGAATAAAAATTCAAGATATATACAAAACTTAATTTAACAGTTAAAAATCAAGCCAATTAATAAATGGGCATATCTGAATACTAGAGATAATACACAGAAGGCTAACACACATAGAAAGACGTTCATTTGTTTTTAATAAGAGAGACGCAGGTCAAAACCATAGTGAGGTGTCATCTCATGCCACTGAGAACCACACATATTAAAAGGACTCCCCCAATAAGTGCTGGAGATGAGGCAGAGAAAAAGGAGCCTATTATATGGTTGGTGAGAATGTAAAATGGCCCAGCAATTTTGTAAAACAAAATGGTTTTATTTTAAAAAGCTAAAAATGAAAATACCATATGAGCCAGCAATCCTAATCCAGGCATCAAATCCAAAGAACATGAAAGCATCGACTCAAAAATTTTTATATTCTATAATGTTTATCTCAGCATATTTATAATGGTTAGAAAAGAAAACAACGTAAGTGTCCACTGAGAGGAATGGATCAAGACGATATGGCATATCCACAAAATGGAATGCTGTTCAATCATCCTACTCACAATACTATTCAATCAAAGGCAGGAAGAGTGGAGGGGATGGGACACAGGCAGACGGGCCATGGCCACAGATGTTTTGGTGAAGGTAATAAGAAAACTGAAAAAATTTTAAAAATAGATGAAATGTTGCCACGCATAGTGAAATGGAAGGAGTTTAAGGGAAGTATGGATAGTAAAACAAGTCAAACTGACAAATATTGGGCTTTTCTATAAAGGACTATTCAACAAAACAAAATACAAAGACTAGTGGATAATAAGTGAGGTCTCTAAGGTTGGGAGAAAAAAAGGGGTCTAAGGGATTCTGTTGGAAAAAACTAGTAATAGTTATAGGAAAAAATAAATGGACATAAAAATTTAGATATTCTGTAATAGCTAAATATTGCAGTAAGTACAAAAAATAAATAAAAATAGATTAGGAAGGGGAAAAAAGTAGAAACTGAATTCCAAACTATGTAGAAGTCTCTAACTTAACTGTTAAAAATAAGCAACAGGGACCTCCCTGGTGGCGCAGCGGATTAAAGCACAGCACTAAGAAGCTAAAGCCACTTTCATCATGAGTTTGATCCCCGGCCCAGAGGTGACTCACATGGTGCGGCAGACCTCTCATGACCTGCCCGCTGCTCCCCTCAGCAGTATACCTGTCAGTCGGCCTATTCTGCTCCTGACTCTGTCTCTGGTGAATGCTCTCACTACCCCTGCACCTATAGTCTACACCCCAGCTCTGTGTGCATAAATAATAAATAAATCTTTAAAAAAAAAAAAGTAACAAAAGGGAATATGCTATTTATTCACACAGACTTAATAAACCTCCAGGTAGTTATACTAACTGAAAAATGGACAATCGTAGAGGGTTCTCTACTACATAATGTCATTTATAAAACATTTTTGAAATGACAAAATTTTAGAAATGTCAGAAACATTAATGATTGCCAGGGGTTAGATTGAGGGGAATAGTGAAGTGGTGGAAGCAAAGCAGATACTATAAAACAGCAACACAAAGGGTCCTTGTGCTAAAGTGCTGTTCTCTTTCTTGACTGCTGTGGTAGATATATGAATAAACACAGGATATTAAACTATCCCAACATCCCAATCCACACGCACACACAAACAACTGAAGAAACTTAAAATAACAGCAGTGGACCATATACTGTCTATATGGCAGTTATAATACTGAACTATAGTTCTATGAAATGTTACCACAAGAGGAAACTGAGCAAAATGCACAAAAGATTTCTGGGCCCACCCTAGTGGTGCAAGGGAGTAAAGCACGGCGCTATGAAGTTATCAGAAGCTACCCAACAGGAGTTTGATCCCAGGCCAGGGAGCTGACCCACAGCTGCTCCTGATCCGCCCGCTGCTCCCCTCAGCAGTGTATTTCAGTCCATCTGCCTGTTCTGCTCCCCGCTCTGTCTCTAGTGAATCCTCTCACCCCCTGCACCTCTGGCCTGTACCCCAATTCTACACATAAATAAATCTTAAAAAAAAAAGATTTTTTTATACTGTTTCTTACAACCACAATTATACCTACCAAAAAAAAAGGGGGGGGGATGTATCTCTACCTATTTAAAAATGTTCATCTTGGTTTTAAGGTAAAACAGGTAAATTCATTTATCATTATACTACCTATAGTCAAAAAAGTATCAGACAGCTAAGACAAAAAAAGTACAAGTAAAAGTTTAATCTGCCCTAAGAAACAACAAATAGAACTGTAAGAACTATTATTAACCTAGAACTTAAACTGAAGTCACACATACAAATCTCTCAATTCATATTATAAGGTTTATATTCAGATGTAAATTAAAAATAAATCAACAAAAAAGACAAAAAACCCCACAGAGGTATCACTACTCTAGTTTTATATGATAATACTTCACTCTTCTTAAGTTCATATGTTCAAGTGCTCTAAGACAGTTCTTTTGTATTTGTTTGCATTATGTATGTCTTAATAATTACAAGTACAAATTACAAGAACAAAAGTTCAGTTGCTGATTATGTGATCCACAACTGATTCAAATCTATCAAGATAATAGTTACAGCAGCTGTGTTGCTGATAATCATAAAAACTGCTTCACAGATATGCCCTCTGATACATAATTTGCTTTCAAAATGGAACAAAATCTGTCACTAAAACAATGCCTAATTGTTATAAATGCTAAGCATTACTGCAAAGTCTTCCTTTTATAGTAAACAGAAAAATGGAGAATACATCCATAAGTTCAAGAAGTATGTACCCACATTATTTCCTGAAACAAATGAAAAGCAATAAATATACACATTCATGTTATAAAAAATAAAGGACAGTCTATGCCTAGCTTGTCATTGTTCCATTTAACCCAAGTTTCCAGAACTTACAAGATATAATGCTTAATCTTGAGTGAGGTTTAAGGACCTGAGAAGGAGCCTCAGGTGTCAAAAATGACTCACCAAAGAAACTATAAATAATTTATAATGAATTTTGGAGGACTCTTTGATAGCTAGCAAGACCCTTCATGATCTGGCTTCTGTAGACTTACTTTCCTGCTTGCACTACTTCAACCCTGTCATGCTGAATATCTTGCATTTCTCAACATGTGCCATGCTCTTGCATGCTTGGGCTTTTGTCTCCTCCTAGGTTACCCTTATATCCCTTTCTTTAGTATGGCTACTTCATGTTTAGTTTTTCAAAGCACAGCTGAATTGTCTAATCTCAATTCAGATATGAGTTTAGGTATTTCCTCTAGGAAAGTTTCCTTTATTTAAAAAAATTTTTTTTCAGATTTGTTTATTTATGCATACAGACTTAGGGTACAGGTCAGAGGTGTAGAGGTGAGAGATTCACCAGAGACAGAGTGGGAAGCAGAACAGGTAGATGGACTGAAATACACTGCTGAGGGGAGCATTGGGCTAGTAAGGAGAGGTCTGCTATGCCATGTGGGTCACCCCCAGGAATTGAACTGGTGCTACAGTGGCTGCAATAGCTTCATGGTGCTGCGTTTTAACCTGTTGTGCCACCAGGGAGAGCCCAAAACTTTCCTTTAAATAGCTGTCCAAGAAACACATCAATTAGGTCAACTGCCCTCCTCCTCCTGTATTCTGCCTTAGCATGGTCCTTGACTGTTGCTATGCTCTACCAGAGCGAGACTTTTTTTTTGGAAAGAAGGAATTTTATTTATAAATTTCTCCCTTAGCCTTCCCTGGTGCCACAGAGCATTAAAGTGCAGCACTGCAAGCGAGCCATAGCTATTTCAGTGTGAGTTTGATCCCCAGTCCCAGGGGTGACCCACATAGCATGGCAGACCTCTCCCATCTCTCCCACTGCTCCCCTCAGCAGTGTGCTTCATCGATCCGCCTAAACTGCTCCCCACTTTGTCTCTGGTGAATCCTCTCACCACTCCTGCACCGCACCTCTGGCCTGGACCCCAGTTCTGTATGCATAAATAAGTAAATCTTGAAAACAAATAAAACTTCTCCCTTTCCAGTAATTAAGACAGTACCTCTGACTTAGGAGGTATCCCCTAAACAGCCAAAGAAAACTTCATGAAAATCTTAATTTTCCAGGCCCTCCCTGGTGGCACAAAGGGTTAGGACACAGCATTGCAAGCTATCCACAACTGCTGCAGTGTGAGTTCAATTCCCAGCCCCAGAGGTGATCCACATGGGGAAGCAGAGCTTTCCTGACCCGCCTTCTGCTCCCCTCAGCAGTGTACTTCGTCAGATCTACCTGTTCTACTCCCCTCTCTGTCTCTGATGATGCCTCTCACTACCCTTAACCTTTGGCTTATATACAATTCTGTATGCATAAATAAATAAATCTCAAAAAATTATCTTAATTTTCCTTGTTTACCAAAAAAGAACGTAATTTATCATAAATGCAAAAAGCTTAAGAGATGCAGAGAAGAGAATGACCTCTAATGTTACTATCTTCTATCAAAAAGGGTAGGAGCGCATAAAAAAATTCAGCTGTTTTTGTTAATCCAGAATAAGTCAAGAAAAGACAACTACTGCATGGTACCATTTCATGTGCAAATGAAAAAAATAAAATCAAACTCATACATCTGAAGAGATATGAACCTGTACCTCAGAAATAGGTTTTATTATAAATCAGTATAACCTATTTTTTTTAAAAGAGGCTTTATATAAAGGGCTTCCTTGTGGCACAGAGGTTAAACGTCTCAGTGCTATCAAGCTATCGCTA